AGGAAGAGAAATTTTTTTGTGTTCGGAAAGGAGTTTCCGTTAAGATTTGGGTTGGAAATCTGCCTTTCCGCTTCCCGGAACGGCCCCCAGTTGTAATGACCTCGGCGGCCAAATACTCTTAACCCCTAGTAGGTTCGGCGACTCAATACAGAGATTGTGCGTTGTCCGGAAACGTTAAGTCCAAACTCGGTTCGGGTCCAACGTATTTCAACGTTTTCGTGATCCAAAAAAAAGTGTCCTTCCTCCCTGACACCCCTGGCCTCTGCAGGCGTCGTGGGCGCCATCCTCTGGGTGCGGCCGACTCGCCCCGCACTGTGTCGGCCTCTGTTCTAGTCTGATTTCGGCTACGATCCTTGTGTGCCGAATCTACTATTCAAGTTAGACTCAATTAACTCTCTTTGATAGTTTCCGGCGTACTTAGCTCGTTCTCGCTCCTTACTCCCTATAGTTACCTATCGTTATTGGTTGCAGCTACTTGTAGTGCTAGCGCACTACAGCTGGTGCTTCGATGCAGGCTATTGGGCAGCCGATGTGTTCGAATAGAACGCAGGAACTACACTTTATGGCGAGGAGCAGATGTTACAGGGGAATTTACCCACTGGTGACCCTGTTCCACAATACCCACATGGAACGAGCGAGAGTTTCCCTGACGCGAAACAGTTGAGCTATCGTCCCAAATAGTCATTGAGTGATAGTTGTGGGGACAAGCTCCGTATATTATGATTGGCTTCTCCGGTGGATGCAAATGGTGCTACTGATGCGGCCTGCTGCACGGTGTCGTGGGCCTGTGGGAGGGGAATAGCAGGTGCAGTATCGGAAGGCAAGTATTCCAGAAGGGGTATCTATACAAGTAATAAGGGCTTCCACTAGTGCATCTGGCGATGTCTGCGCCATTTCTATATTTCATGCTTCCTTATTGTGCCTGAACTTTGCGAGAGAAACAGTGCTAAGGCAAAAAAGTTTTTGCTCCCCATTCCAGCGCATTTTGTGTTTCTTCGCATGAACGCTCGGAGCACTAGCTTTAGATCTTTATCTACCTCAACAGTTAGTTTAGACGTGTATGCTCTCAAATAGTTAGTTCCCAAAATTCGTGCTTTCCGTTGAGGCGGGGGGTCGGGGCACTGCTACTGCCTTACGCGCTAAGCCCGCTGCCATTCAGCCTTCTTTATGCATCTTAAGCATTTCCTTTGGACATTTCACCGAGCATATAGTTCGAATCCTGTCGTGTAAGGGTGGGCCTTCGGATTTCATGCGGTCTTTATGGCTTTAGCGGTGAATTGAGTTGAGACGTATGGGTTTCCAAAGAGGTACAGCTTACGGAGCTAGTTTGCTAAGCTTGCATATGGTTCTTCAAACATGCGAAGCGAACGCAGTCAAACTGTGCTTTTGGTCGAATGGTAGAACTGCCTGTACGAATATATGGATTTGTACACTCGCAGGTATTGTCTCACAACGGCATGTTAGCGTGCTACTGAAAAGCCGCAGGTGTCGATTCCTTCAGTATTCCGCTTGCGTGGTGGTGATAAATGCATGGAAGAAAACGAAGTACGTGGGTTCTTGACCCGCCCCGCTCAAGGGCGTTATACAGTAGGAATATGGCTGCTGCTTGTTGAGACCTTTCGTGTTGGATTCGTAAAGCTAGACTGGGGTATGGGGGGGCCAGGAATTACCCACATACTCGGGGACGTCGCGGGCGTATCGCGCTCACGAATATATGGAAGTATACGATTAGAATCTAGGGACAGTGCATCCGGAGTCAGACTTTTCAGGACGGCAGACGTACTATGAGTTGTTCGGGAGTCATTTGCTGCAGTCGGCTCCTTGGTAGCAAAGTTGCTAGTTGACATTTAACTAGTGGGGGAAGGCTTTTTGAGGGTGGACTGTCGTCTGCGGAGTTTGTGGAGCCCTCTCGCCCCTCGGCTTTGCACTGGGCACGGTAGATATCATGGTTCGCCTCAGGTCCACTAAATACCTCTCTAATTTGAATTGGGTGGCATAGCTTTGGTGGCGTGCACTAGGAATTTCAGAAAACGGGAAAATCGGCGAAGTATTACAGGGAGATACCAGGGCCCTGTTTTATTTGTACAGCGAAACATTCTGCAGAATGTGCGTTCAATACGGTGGGGGGATAGGTGCGCAGTTTAAGCAAAAAGCGCCAGCTAGTTTGAAGCAGAAGCGTACCAGTTAAAAGGAGGGCGTCACGTGCGTGGTTGCTGTAGTATTCACCTAAGCTTCTCACACTAGCGTGCCTTAGGACTTCCAGGTCAAACTGTCACCAAATGCACTAGATATCGCTCGAGAATGTTTGACCAGGCAGCACGATATAGCAATATCCAGTTGCCGCCGGCTGGATTATGCGATATTTAGGGGTATTCGGCCCTTCAAGCGCAGACTCGTCTATTAGCATGGCTGTAACGCTGAGTGAGCACACCATCCGACAAATATCAGGGGTATCATTTTGCTAGGTCTGTGTTAGAGCTTGCGCACATCAAATCATACTGACATCACATTTCGTGCTGTGTAAGACGCAAAGCAACGTTTTCCCAACTGCGCGAGCTGGGCTTTGGGGGAGCTCAATATATATTATGCAGCTTCAGGGACTATATTTGGTCTTCATATTTGGTTGTATCTCGGCTCAAGCAGACAGTTACTGCATAAGAAGGAAGCATGCACGTAGGTCGGCGGAAATAAGTAGATATGCGCATTTGTGTCTTCATAGTGAGCATAGCACTGAGCCTTCAGCTGCTACTGTGCGAATGCTCGAAGAGGTGTTCTGTTCATCAGCATGCACGTTCGTAGCCGAAGAGCAACCCTTTGTTACGCCTGCATAGAGCGATCCTTAAAGCGTCATGGGAATAACATTGTATTATGCTGCGTGTGTTCACTGTAAGAAATTTGCGCCGTGGTATCATTTTGACCGCCACGTGACTATGAATGCCCGACTTTTCCATCAGTTCGAAAGGCACCTTGGCCTTAGCTACCTTGACGCAGGAATATGTTGTCTGCTGAAAACAGCAACAGGTAATGCTGTGTTTGCGCCAAATGCATGTGATGAGCGGAAAGTGGCAACGCGTCAGGCGAAGCCCAGCGATGAGGTGGGTAGCACGCAAGTGGGAGGTGTAGTCATGTGTGGGGCAGGAGCAAGCGTTATGTGATATCTGTAGGAGGGTTTGCATAAAGCACGACAGGTGCGGAGTGGGAGGGGGACTGTGGGGTTCGTTGGAGATGCGATGGTAAGCGCGTTTACGTGCCTTGAAGAGTACGTTTGCCAGCTCCGACCGGCCGTGAGCGGTGCTGCATGCGTCTGGCGAGTGAAAGGCGGCGGCGATGGGCGATTATTGGTTGGCGTGTAACGCATTCGGAGATTCTAAGCAAGAGAGAGCAAGGAATAGGCTTTTTTGGTGGTCGGCGTGCCGCAGGAGGTGTGTTATCCATGCATCCATGCACCAGCTGGAGAGGGATGGGTGCTGCGAGAAGACACTTAGGTCAGCAAGCAGTTGAGAAGCGGAGCTCACGTTGGGATCGCCTGACTTCAGGCGCTCAGTCGCTTCAACATGCACTGCAACGTGCTTTGCCTGTGGCAGTGCTATCACTTGCATGCGGTGAAGCTGATGAGCGGAGGCGCTGTTGTGGAAACGATAGGCGTTACGTCGACATTCGTGGTTTAGTGAGAACCAGACAGAGGAAATTTCGATGCTGATGAGTGGTTCTCGTCTGGAAAGCCCTGAGCTGGCGTTTATGCGGAGCTTGCGCCACAGGCAATGGACCGCTTCCAAAAAGTGCTTTCAAGAAAAATTGCCGAGCGTCTCTGCACCGCATATTTCAAGCAGCCGCTTGAGTTGGTGAGGGCAGTTGCAAGCAATACTTATGTTACCCGATTTTGCAAGAGTGCGGAGCTGCGATGTACTCATGCAGCTTGGTCGTGCAGGAGTGAGAAGCGCATGCGGCTCTGACATAACATGTCACAGGCCTGCAAGACAGCCTAG